TCTTGCTTTACATTATGGTTATTTACTATATGTAAGAAGTTGGGTGAAAAGCCACTTAAAAGCTGGAAAACAGTTTCTTGTAGAGGTGAAAACTGTCTTGGTTTGGGAAAACATGCTTACAGCACCTTCAGGGAATCAGAGACAGTTTAATAATTAGACATAGCTAAATTTAGACATAGCTAAGTCACCTCATATGAGAAAATAAAGGAATTTGGGGGGTTTAGATTTTTAAAAAAAAGGGATAGAAGACTCTTAAGACTTACCAAATCATCACGTTGTACGTTTTAAATATCTTACAATTTTATTTGTTAATTAGACCTCATTAAACTAAAACAAAAAATAAAAAGAGACAGAGAGAGAGTTAAGGAAAATGTCAGGAACTAGAGTTTACAGATAAAAGTGACTGGTGAAAAATATTCAGTGACAGGGTAACTAAAGGACTTTAAGAACAGTGCTATTTACAGTTTAGGATTGTTATTTATGTGGCTAAATTGTAAGCTCTCTTCATCTTCCCAAACCTTTAGCCCCAGGAACTCACAGAAATCTGTCATTTTAAGACAACAGGAAGAGAGGGAGAAAAGGAGAGGTTTATAGTTCTTTCTCCTGCTCTAATTTTTAAGAGGTTACTTTGTAGAGTAACCAGGACAGGGATGACCAGTGGCCAGCGCATTATGACACCCACTTGGATTCAGACCAAAGGTCAAATCATGGAGCGGCTTAGGACCTGTGATTCCCGAAGCAGGAAGAGAGCTTCTCAGTTCTGTTGCAAGCAGTGAATGCTGCTTCATCGGTGAATTTCAGGTCCATTCCTGCACTGGTTCCGCTGGCGTTTTCATCTTTCTCCCTATTACATATATCTATTCTCAGACTGAAAGTTCCTAAAAAAGCAGGTATCAGATTGGTTCATGATCCTTTTGGTGTTAATTACAGTGATGAAGTAGGTCATGATGATGATGACTTTGCTTACGTGGCAACATATGTTTAAGAGTGTCTCAATACCGGTTTGAGAAATAGCTTTGTTTTGTGATATCACAATGATTAATTAAAAATAAATGAACAGGTTGTTTCAGAGCTAACCAGTCCGTTTTGCTAAACACTTTAATATTTAATTAGCTATAGGTCATGAATTCACAAGGTACCAAAGGGTACATTCGGTGAAAAGCCACCTATTCCTGTTCCCTTGTTCTCCTAGAAGCAACCATTGTTATCCCTTTCTTGTTATCTTGTTTCTTGTTATCTTGTCATACAAATATGTCCATCTGTTCCCTCCATTTAAAAAGAAATCTCACCCAAGGACATGTTTATTGATTTTAGAGAGAGGGAGAGAGAGACAATGCAAAACATCGATGTGAGAGAGAAACATCAATTGGTTGCCTCTCATACATGCCCCAATCAGGGACCAAACCTACATGCTAGGTATGTGCCCTGACTGGGAATCAAACCCTCAACCTTTCAATGTATGGGACAATGCTCCAACCAATTGAGCCCCACTGGCCAGGGCTATTCCCTCTAGTTTTTAAACAAATGGTAGCATGTTATAAACCCTGTTCTGCTCCTTGCCTTTTCACCAAATATGTTTCAAAGGTTCTTCCATACCAATATGTTAAAAAAAATATTTATTATTTTTCATAGCTGTATAGTAGTCATTGTATGGCTGTACTGTTGATGGACATTTAGAAGGTTTCCAAACTTTTGCTTGTGCAATGAATACGTGGAAGTGGAATGTTCAGGTCAACGAGTATGTGCATAGCTTTATTAGATGTTATCACGCTTCTCTCTGGAGGCTGTAACAATCAACTCTCACACTGGCCGAGCATCATTATTTCTTTACACTATTGTCAATGGACTGAGAGAGAGAGAGAGAGAGAGAGAAACATCAATTGGCTGCCCTCTGCCATGCCCTGATCCGGGATTGAACCGGCAACCTTTCCTTGCACAGGACGATGCTCAACCAACTAAGCCACACCGGCCAGGCTGTGTGATAGACTTTTCCATCTTTGCCAATCTGATAAGTGGCTCCCAGTGTAATTGTAATGTGCATCTCTCTTATTCTGAGTTAGTTTGAAGAGCCACTTATATTTCCTTTTCTGTAAACTGTTATTTCCATTGGATTGCTTATTCTTTTTCTTAGTGATTTCAAAGAGTGCTTTATATACTAAATAAATTAAACTCTTGTCTACAATTCATTTTGTGAATATTATCCCATCCCACCCTAGTTTCTCTTTTGTTTTGACTTGTGTATGGTGGTTTTTGTTACAAAATTTTATTTTGTATTTTCTTTTTTCAATTTCTGGGTTTCCCATCATATTAGAAAGGTCATATCACTCAAAAATTATTTTAAAATTTGTCCAATAGATCTTGTTAATACTTAAATTGTTTCATTTTCCATGTTTATATCTTTGATATTTTTGAAATTTTGGGGTCAAGAGTAAGGTAAGGATCAAGTTCACTTTTCCCCAACTAGATAGCAAGGTATTATAATACTTCATTAAATAATTCATCTTCCCCCAACAATAATTTAAAATGGTGTTTTTGTTGTTTTTTATCCTCATCCGAGGACATTTTTGCATTTATCTTCAGATAGAGTTGGAGGGAGAGGGGGGAAGAGAGAGAGAGAAATATTGATGTGAGAGAGACACATTGACTGGTTGCCACCCACACAACCCCAACCGGGGCTGGGGATAAACGGTAATTGAGGTACGTGCCCTTAGTGGGAACCGCACCCAGGACTCTGGTCCACGGGATGACACTCTAACTACTGAGCCAAACCGGCCAGGACAAATGGTATTTTTTATTATATCTAAATTTCCATATGTATTTGGATCTAATTCTTGGTTTTCCATTTTGTTCTATTGATCTGTCTGACTATTCATCTGTCTGTACCACACTATTTAAATTATTATAACTTTTTTTTTTTTATCCTCACCCGAGGACATTTTTCCATTTTTTGTACAGATAGAGTGGGAGGGAGAAAGGGGAAGAGAGAGAGAGAGAGAAACATCGACGTGAAAGGGACACATCGAGTGGCTGCCACCCGCACGACCAACCAGGGCCGGGGACAAACTGCAACCGAAGTACGTGCCCTTAGCGGGAACCGAACCCAGGTCTCTCCGGACCGCAGGCCGATGCTCTAACCGCTGAGCCAAACCGGCCAGGGCAAATTATTATAGCTTTGTAATGTAGTTTAACAGTTGGTAAGACTAATTCAATCACCTGATGATGGTCTTTGGGTTATAATATTTAACATGTTTTTAAACAAACTATTTGTATATTTCCATAATTCTAGATGCCTTCTATGCCTTCTATATCTTCTCCATGTTGCTCTAGAGCACTACATTCTGTTTCTTAGGATTCTTTGCCTTGCAGACAAACTCAAGATAAATTGAGCATCATCTCCACAAATGCAGGGGATCTTGGATTTGATTCAGTAGAAATCCCCATTAGTCAGCCCAGAAGTCATTGGTACAAAGGTACCCTTATTTGAAGTTATTAGATGTATTGTCCCTTGCAATGTATAGCATTGTGTCTGTCCTGCTGCTTGACTGTACCCTGATTACATGGGCTAGAAAGAACTCTAAGCATAAAGCACCAAAATATCTTGTTTTTACATATAATCTATGAGTTGTGGCAGACCCAATGTTACCAGGTGTTGGGAGGAAAGGATTCTGTCCAATCAGCAGGACCATACTGGCCCTCCTAGGAGGCTCCAGCAACAAGATCTCAGGACCTTCCAGAACTTTGAGGTGTCTGTAGCTGGCATTATAGATCTCTGCAGGGAACTGGAGCCAGACTGAGAGACGTGGGAAGAAATGGGAGAGGCCCCTGGGAATCAAGAGAGATTTCACCTGTAAATTATCGGATTACTCCTTGTTCTATTTATCAGGTCCATGGAATTCCCACGGGGCAAGAACTGTGTCTTTGGAGTACTTGGTACAATGCCTGACACCAAGAAGTACTCAATAAATGTATGTTAAAGGGAGGATGAACTGATGAGTGAAGGAGTGCGTAGCTGCATGCCAAAAGAGTCTTCTTTTATCACAGGTGTCTTCCTTGCCCGTTGTCCTGTCCAGGAGAAGAATACAGAGTGAGCAAGTGCTGTGAACACTGCTTATCCACCTCCAGAGGGCTCTGAGAGTTTCTGCTGGTTTTTTTTTTTATTCTTGTGTTTCCTCTGTTCTTTAATAGCATTCAATTGAAACATCACTCTCATTCAATACCTCCCCCTTTTCTACACCAAACCCTTGGATAAGGCAAGTGGGATAGGAAGGGAGACAGGAATCAATACAGCTAATTATAACAGCCAACTCTTTTACAGTGTTTACTATGTGCTAGTCTGTCTCAAATTATCTACCTATCTAATGACCTTTTTAATACTTAAAACGGGTAGGTATATATTGTTATTATGCCCTTTGTATAAGTTAGGAAACAGAGTTAACACAGTGGTTTAGTAACTTCCCCAAGGCCATGAAGCTTGTAACTAGATCAGTTGGGATTTGGCAAGAGAGTCCATGCACTGAAACACTATACCTTTCCTTGGCATGTACATGGATGCTTTAACTTCATCGAACTATAACAAAACACAGAAAAGTGAACAAATCAAGTGTACAACTCAATGAATTTTCACAAAGTGAGCACCCCTGTGTAACCAGCACACCTCAAAGAACAGAACACCCCTGGAGTTCCCAACATGTATCTTCCCAATATCTACTCCTTCCCCAGGAAACCACTGTCCTGACTTTTCTCGCCATTCTTCTGGGAGTTTCTTCCTTGTCTTTTTATTTTAATCACATTTATGTTTCACGTAACATGGAGTCTGTTGCTAACGCTAAAAATATTCTATCTTGTAGGAATAGAAGTGGAGGTGATTGAGGAGAATCCATTTCCTAGATAAGAGAAATAACTGGGAAAATAAAAGGGAAAGTTAGGGGGCAGTTGTTCCATTTCCCCTCATTCTCATTGCTGGTTAGTGTGAGGTTCTACTCCTTCCTCCGTCCTCCTCCCTGAGGACTACATGTCCCAGCAGGCTGTGCTCTGACAGCTCTCCGATTTAAATAGGATTCTGGGCTACGCTTAGAGCCAGGCTGTTGCTGAGAGCTCCAGAGGAGCTGGAAGAGGGAGAAGCAGTAAGAAGCAGCCAAGAGTTGGAGCCAGACCAGGAGCCTGAGCCAGAGTTAGAGTTGAAGTTGTTTTTGCTAAGGAGCAGCAACCAAAGAAGTTGAAAAGATGATGGTTATCTTGGGACTGCTCACCTCCTTCCTTTCTTTCCTGTATGCGATAGCTCCATCCATCAGGTTTGTCTTCGGTGACTCATACAGTATTTTACAAAGCCCTAAACTGGGAGCCACGGAACTTGTAAGTAGATGAATTCTCAGCTGCTGAAAGAAGAGAAAGGGATAGAGGTCAAGGGAGAGAAAGTCAGGGCAGAAAAAGCAGAAAGGAAGGAGGTAATTATGTATACCATGAAGGAAGCACCTGGGGATGGAAGTCGAGGTTCTGAAGCACCTGGGGATGGGAGTCGAGGGTCTGATTTGAATTCAGATGCTAGTGGAAGGCTGAGTGGATGACTGTTAGGTAGCTTGACAGACAACTTAGATGGAAGTCCTTGCTCTTTTACTCTGTTCCCTTGGGCTCCTCGGAAGGTCATCCTTTCTTCATTGTTTCTAGTTAAGGTGGCCCTGCAGGGCTACCATGACTGGTCATTGCTGAGGGACTCACTGTTAAGTACCAGTCATTTGGGGAAGGAAACAAACTGGCTCTTTTGCTGTGGGATTTCTGGAGGTGTCAAAGCAATGTGTGTTCTGAATAGAGAAGTTTTTAAATTGCTGCTGATAAAGAACGTTACACGGGTATATCAGGGACTGAGTGTTGCTCTAGGTTCTGGCATAGAAACCTGGGTTCACATTGTAGTTTTGCCACCATTAACAAGTGACTTGAACTTCCTTGAGCCTCAGTTTTCTCCACTGTAATATGGAGATAATAAGAGAGAGGTTGAGAGGATTAAAATAAACCCCCTATGGAAAGTGCCTAGCCTAGTGCCTGGCAGTTGAATGATGCTCAGAAAATCACCTACACCGCCCCCCCCCATCCTCTTTTTGGAACTTGTCAAATAAACTGTATGTAAAAAGATGCTCTTTGCACAGAAGTCTGAAAAGAGAGGTTGTCTCGGTGCACCGATGGCTAGAAGGGACTCTAGGAGGGTGGCAAAACAACCTCTGAAGATGCTGGCTTTCTAAAACTGGAGAGGGAGCCCAAGAGCTGCATTTGTATGTGGGACCCCTTTAGGTACCAGTCATCAGTTATTCACTGTTGGTGCTTTTTGAAGACCTAGGGCTCAGGACCACGGATTCCACTAATGCTCATTGCACACGTTTTTAATGCAGGTTAGAGGAGGAAGCTGACCTCTAGGAACCTCTAGAGCTACGAGCTTTGTTATTTTTGTTAGCTAATAAGGAAGCTCTCCCTTGGCTCTGACTTGAGAGCACTTATTCTGTTTACCCAGATGACCAGTTGTAGCTTCTGGACACATGACCTTCCAACCTGAGCGGATGAGCAGGAGACCCCCTTGCCCACCGGGAAAATGTCCCTTGAAGATTAGCTCCTTTAGGTCTCCTGACAACAACTGAAAGAAATTCTTCTTTCAGGCTGGATGGATTTTATGTATCTCGGCCTGGGATTGGGAAGAATGGCACAAGAATGTTTTTGTTTCCCCTGCCTATAGGAAGTTCTTTGCTGGTGGGGTTTGCAAAACAAACGTGCAGCTTCCTGGGAAGGTAGTGGTGATCACCGGCGCCAACACGGGCATCGGCAAGGAGACGGCCAGAGAGCTCTCTCGCAGAGGCAAGTCCCTCCGCTTCCGCGTGCACGGCAGCACCTCCTGCCCTTCCCACCCGGGCTCTGCCCACATTTCCTTGTCTTTTCTCCTGTGATTGGAGGCTCTGGCCAGGAATTCATGGAACCGGGGATTCAAGTCCAGCTGTAATACCAACTCACTTTGTGACCTTAAACCTTCCTTCCTATTATATAAAGTAAGAAAAACAATGATGTCCATGTATAGTATTGGTCAAGTCTGTTATTCTAAAAGGAGATACTAAGCAACATTAAATGTCAGCGTGTAAAAGCCAGGGTTCCCAGCCTGGAGTTAAGCTGATAGCAAGAAGAATGAGCAGCACCGCAGGGAGAACCTAAAGTGGCAATATAGTCACTCACTGCTTGAGCGATGGCTGGAGAACACTGTCCACCAGTTTCAAGCTCGCTTACTAGACTCTTTTTCAGCCTAGGGTCTGAACACATCGCCCATTTTTTCCCCTACAGGAGCCCGAGTATACATTGCCTGCCGAGATGTACTGAAGGGGGAGTCTGCCGCCAGTGAAATCCGAGCTGAAACAAAGAACTCCCAGGTGCTGGTGCGGAAACTGGACCTATCGGATACCAAATCCATCCGAGCCTTTGTTGAGGGCTTTCTGGCAGGTAAGGCCCTGGTGGGTAGCTAGAAAAGCAAGAAGCTGGGTGTGGGAAGGGCTGCTCTACCCTGAACCATCTCTGACCCTTACATCACAACTATTATGGATTTCACTGGACAGGTTCCACCACATGAACCAGCAGGGCAGGGAATTAGCAAGGGGATGGTAGATGGACAAGCTGGGCAGGATCCTTATCATCTTTTTGCCTCTGCAGTGGGAATGTTGGAGGTATCAGCTTCCTGTCTGGGCTTGTACCTTGGCATCAAGGTGTGGCCCTGGTGCCACTCTCTCCTTTCCTTCTGAGAAGCAAACTTCTGTGCCCACAGGCACCAAGAGGTTGTGTGGCTGCCAAAATTCCTCTGTATCTTGGAAAATAATTGGCTTTTACCAATGACTATGGAATCCATGAGGGACGAGGACCATGTCTGTCTTGTTTTACCACTGTATGCCCAGTGCTCAGCAGAGTGTGCTTGGCCCAGAGTCAGTACTCAGTACCTATTTGCTGAATGAATGGATGAATGAATGAATGGTGTCCAGGAAGATATCAATAACTCAAGTTAGAAACCCAAGTGACAGTGGTCACTGAATATCAGTAAGACAGGTCCAAAGGCAAGAAGTAAATACTCAGGGCTGTGCTGGGTAGCTAGCAGACTCCTCACTAACTGCAGGGTCTCCTTGCTTGTTTTACAGAGGAAAAGCAGCTCCATATTCTGATCAACAATGCAGGAGTGATGATGTGCCCGTATTCCAAGACAGCCGATGGCTTTGAAACCCACCTGGGAGTCAATCACCTGGGTGAGTATCTTTGAGTGACTAAAAAGTGAGGCTGGCCCAACCTTGTTCTCTGTAGGTGTAGATGACCTTACATCGGTGCCCAAAATCTCCAGTGGTCCTATTGGAGGCCAGGGTGCCAATAGACTGGACATATTGTTTTTTTGTTCACTATCCCTCTCCTGACCAGTCCAAAAAAAGTGAGATACTTCTACCCATACCATTAGGAAAACCCAATTACTAGAGGGAAAGGGGGTGGGAGGGAGGGAGGAAAGGGTATGGGGGGATAAATGATGATGGAAGAAGACTTGACTTGGGGTGGTGAACACATAATATACAGATGATGAATTATAGAAATGTACACCTGAAACCTATATAATTTTATTAACCCATGTCACCCCAATACATTCAATAAAAAAGTTTTATAAAAAAGAACCCTCCAGCCCTGGCCGGTTTGGCTCAGCGGTTAGAGCGTCCACCTGCGGTCCGGAGAGACCCGGGTTCGGTTCCCGCTAAGGGCATGTACCTCAGTTGCAGTTTTTCCCTGGTCCTGGTTGGTCGTGCGAGTGGCGGCCACTCGATGTATCCCTTTCACATCAATGTTTCTCTCTCTCTCTCTTCCTCTCTCTCCCTCCCTCTCTATCTGTACAAAAAATGGAAAAATGTCCTCAGGTGAGGATGAAAAAAAGAACCCTCCAAATTTTGGAGCTACCAGGAAGAAAAATGCCATTCTTGGATGGGGCTGTGGGAGCACAAGGCTTGCCAAGCAGGGCCAGGCACGGGGGCTGCAGGAGTCTGTGTTTGGCTGGAGGGGGTCACATCTATAACTGAGGGCTAAGAAAGCCAAGGGTTGGTTGATGGAGGAGGCAAACCTTGAAGTCTTAAGGTATAGGAGAGGCTGGGGTTCAGAGTTCAGGGTGATGACTCTAAAGAGGAGGTCATGGAACATGTTCTCTGATCCTAGACAAATGTTATTGTCCTTGACTATTCTACTCTTCCCTCTGTACACGGGTGTACCTAGGCCCACAGTTGTGTGACTGTGGCTACAGCAGGGTCAGAAGCCAGCAAGTAGCATTTCTCCTGACTGGGGCAAGGGCAGAGATTCAGACAAGTACAGATTAAGTCTAGAATCCCTTACCCTTGCGGTAAGGAATCCACTAACTCAGACTGCCTGACCATTAGCACAGAGTTACATAAAAATTTGTTCCCACTCAGACAATAGTGAGCTAATGCGAAAGTCCTGTCACCAGCTCCCATACCCTGAGCCTGGGCAGCCACTCCATTCTTCAGTCTTCTGTGCCGGCTCTCCTTTCAGGCCACTTCCTTCTCACTCACTTGCTCCTGGAGCGGCTGAAGGAGTCTGCTCCTGCGCGGGTCGTGAACCTGTCATCAGTGGTCCACATTGCTGGCAAGATTCGCTTCCACGACCTCCAGGGTGAGAAGCGCTACAACCGGGTTTTTGCTTATTGCCACAGCAAGCTGGCTAATGTGCTTTTCACTCGTGAGCTGGCCAAGAGGCTCCAAGGTAAGTCTGGAGAAAGGGCCAGGGTTAAGGTAGCAAAAGTAGGGTCTTCCATCCAGAGTAGAGGTTCACAGAAATTTCTGAAGTCAGGATGTCAAACATGCACATTACAGTGGTAGCTCTATGCACTAAGGAGAAAGAGGTTATAAACAGAATAAAAACAGGTCTCTTGCTTTTGGGAAGCTTCCAAAGGAATAAGGGTTAAGAACCTAGAAAGTTACCTTACATTTATGTCAAATCTTATATCTATTATCTCATTTTGTTTTTCACAACAACCTCTTGCAACAGGCGGAGCATGTATTATTATTATGTGGGTCCAAACTGAGGTCTAAAGAAGTAGTCAGCTCAAGTTTATATGACAAGTGAAGGAGTCAGGGCTGGAATGTGGGTTCTTTGCTTTACATCCAGGGTATTTCGTTCTGCATGCTGTTTGCTGAGGTTCACATGGTGAGCTGAGCAAGAGAGGAGCCACTGACTGGAAGTCAGGGAGCTAGGGCTGGATGTGAGCTGCTGGGTCTGAGTTCTTGCTCCACCGCATACTAGCCGTGTGTGTATATGGACGTGTCCTTTAACCTCCCCTGACTTCATCCCCTCAACTTTAAAATGGGGTGAGGCCTCTCTTAATCCTATGATTCTGTGATTTCTTGAAGTTTTCTTTTGACATCTGCAAATCATGGGCAACATTTGCTATGCTGAATAAGCCAGAGTTCAGGAACAATGCTGTCTGCTATCAGAACACAGAAGGTAGAAGAATAGGGGAATCATTAAAAGAAATAATAATGATGGTAATAATAATAATTGAGAGTTTTGTGTGTGTCATATACTATACATGTCTTAACTCATTTAACACAACATTCCTAGAAGGTAGGTGCTATTGTTTCCACCTGCTCTACAAAACAAAAACAAACAAACAAAAACAGATAGGCACAGATACATAGAGAAACTTGACCAAGCAAGTTTGCTAGCTGAGCCAGGATTCAAATCCTCTAGCTCTGGAGTCCATGATTTTTACATCCGAATTCAGACCTTGGCTCTGCAACCTGCTAGGGTATGACCCTGGGTAATTAATTTACTTAACTTCTCTGTGATGAGGCCTCAGTTTCCTTAGCTGTAAAGGGGCATCTTAATATAATTAACCTCACAAGCCTCTTTGCGAATCAAATGAGATAATGCAGGTAAAGCAAGTAGTAAGCCCTCGGACATAATAAGTACTAAAACTAGAGGAGGCACTGGGGGAGTCTGGGGGCATGTTAACTCCCTCATCTCCATCAACACCCTCAGCTACACCTCATAAAATGTGCTTGCCTGGCAAATGCAGCTGAGAACACTAGCTTCCTTTCTTTCAACTAGATTGCTTCCCTTAAGACCTTCCTACAGAAATTCCAAAGACATGATTGTCAATCACTGAACCATGGCTGCTACTAGTAGTAGCAGTACAATTAGTACATGTTGTTGTTTCCATTATTAATACTTAAGCCACAGAAAAGGTGACATCGATATAGAAGGACCTTCCACCAAGCATTCCTTTTGGAGCACAAAAAGCTGAGAAGGCTATAGATCTTTCTGGAAGAGATCAATTAATTACCAGCCAGATTTTACCTGGCATGGAGTGGCACCTTCTGAGTCATGGGGTTCTGCTTCCTGGCTCCCTTCTTCTCGTGCGTTTTTCGACAGGAGGTGAGCTGTTTCTGGAGGCTCAGAGTATGCCCCTGGTCTAACTGTGCTCTCTTTGCCCTAGGCACGGGGGTCACCACCTACTCAGTGCATCCGGGTGTCGTGCACTCCGAGCTGGTCCGGCACTCCTTCCTGCTGTGCCTGCTCTGGCGGCTCTTCTCCCCCTTCCTCAAGTCTGCGCGGGAGGGGGCGCAGACGAGCCTGCACTGCGCCCTGGCTGAGGGCCTGGAGCCCCTGAGCGGCAAGTACTTCAGGTGCGTGCAGGCAGCGCAGGTTCTCCCCCACCTGTGTGCGTGGTGAGACACAGGGCTCCCTGGGTTTTGCACTCCAGGTGGCCAGGTTGGTGCCTCATAACAGAATCCGGTTTGGGTTGGGCCTGCAAACCAAATGCTGTTACTTTTGCAAGGGAACTTTCATTAGAAATTTGGCAAGAGCTGCTTTTGCGGCTCTGTTTTGTAGGCTGTGCCGTTTCCAGGAAAGCTGTGGAGCTTTCTGAGAGTGGGAGAAGGCTGTCCTTGTTGAGTGCCTTGGAAAGGGTATTGGCAGGCTCTCTGGGTCCTTCTCCTGGTTGAACCTTTCGGCTGACTTTTTTTCGTGTACTCTTTAGTACCACTTGGCACGAAGCGCCAGGGCAAGGCTACTCTCCCGTGTGAACTCTGTCTCCCCTTGCTGTCAAGATCGGCACTGTCTGTCGGAGTATAGAAATAGACATTTCAGTGTTGAGTTGTTGTAGACCAATGAAACAGGCCAGACTCAGACTCCGAACTGGGTTCAAATTAAGAGAGCTTGATTAGCTGTGGGGACTGTCCCATCCTGCGCAGATGAGAGAGCAGCCCTGAGCTCAGGGGGAGGGCTGCTTACATAGTTGTCTTAACCGTAGGTAAGAAATTGGGCTAGTTAAGAAATTCTGTATAAGCAAGCTCGTACAGAAGCAGATATTTACAGTTAGCTGTTATGCCTGAGGGAGCGAGCAGTTTCGGTGTACACAAAGCAATGGTTATCTATACAATGCAGTGGTTATCTATTAACTCTAGCAGCTAGTTTTTGCCATTCTCTTAAAGTCCAGGGGGTAAGGTCTGCCTAATGAAAAAACTTTTTACTGTACATTCACATAGCATGTGTTTGTCCTTTACAGAGTCTTATAACAAACTCAGTTTGGGAATAAAGGGAAGCCTGAGATTAAAATTCCTTCCTTTTCCATGACTTGATCCAGTCCAGTCTGCTCTTCTGTCTCACTTTGTTCAAGGCCGTTAATTGGTGCACCGTTCATAAGTGAAGCATTGGAAATAATCTGTGTCCAACAATAGGAGAATGGATACATGATAATAGCTAATGTCTGAGCTCTTACAAAATGTCGGACACTCTTCTAAGTGTTTGACATGTATTAATTCATATCATCATCACAGCTTAATGAGGTAGATAATATTATTATCCCCATTTTACAGGTTAAGAAACTGAGGCATGCCCTGGCCAGTTTTACGCAATGGTTAGAGCATCAGCCCACAGACCAAAGGGTCACGGGTTTGTTTTCCAGTCAAGGGCACGCACCTGAGTTGCAGGTTCTATTCCTGGCCCCTGTCACAATCTTGCAGGAGGCAACCAATTAATGTGTCTTTCTCACATTGGTGTTTATTTTTTTTCCTCTTTCTCCCTCCCTCCCTCCCTTCTACTCTATCTAAAAAATCCATGGAAAATTATCCTTGGGTGAGGATCAACAAAAAAAAAAAAGAAAGAAACTGAGGCACAGAATAATTAACTTGCTCAAGATCATATAGCTTGAAAATAGTAGACCTGGGTTTTAAACCCAGGAAGTCTGGCTCTAGAGCTATGCTGTTCAGTGTGGTTGCCACTGGCCCGTGTGCAAACTGAGTGCTTGAAGTACGGCCAGTCCAAACTGAGATGTGCTGTAAGAGTAAACGGGCACCAGATTTTGAAGACATAATATGAAAATAGAAATGTAAAATATTTCATTAATAATTTTTACAGTAATTACATGCTGAAATTATTTGGCTACATTGGGTTAAATAAAACATATTACTAAAATTAATTTCACTCATTTATTTTTATTTTAAAAAATGTACTTAAAATACTGGAAAATTTAAAATTACGTCCGTGGTTCACATCCTATTTCTATTAGACAGTGCTACCCTAATTGCCTTAAATATGTGATAAAATATTATGTAATCACTAAATAAAATATTTAAAAAATATTTAATGGAAAAATGTTGATGATACATTATCGTGAGAAAAAAACAGAGCTATAGAACTATATAATTATCATTGTAAACACAATTAAAACAGTTTGGAAGGATACACAGCACACTGTTGCTGTGGTTACTATGAATGAGTTTGAGGGAGAGTCAAAGGGAGTGTGAAGGAAGAGTGTAACTTTTTGCTCCAGTTATGTCTTTATAATTTAAAGGTCACATATTTATTTATTACTTGTACGATTAAAATATACATTTTAACAAGAGAGTGATATCCTCCCCAAAGTAGATACAGTATGATCCCAGTTTTGTATAAAAGAGTGAAAGACTACATATCTATTTCTATACAAACAAAGCAAATAAGAGTGTAAGGAAAAGTAATTATCTCATAGGTTTTACTTCTTTATCAGCACTGCATTTTCCATGAATGCAGGAGAGTAGTAATACCTGTGACTTTGTCATCATAATATTTTCATGTCATAGTGCAGTTGTTGCAGATTTCTCAAAATGTCACTTCTCACTACTACTTGAAAATTCGGTGGTTATCAGACCCAATGCTAGCTCTTGTTATAGAATATATTAATAAAGAAGCCTGTGTATTACTATATCATGGATTTTTTAAAAATCCTCACCCGAGGATATTTTTCCATTTATCCATTTATCAGAAAGAGTGGGGGGCGGGGAGAGATCAATGTGAGAGACACACCGACCAGTTGCCTCCTGCTCAACCCTGACCAGGGCCGGGGAACGAACTGCAACTAAGGTACGTGCCCTTGACTGGAATCGAACCCGAGACTTTTTGGTCCCTGGGGCCGATGCTCTAACCAATGAGCAAAACTGGCCAGGCTATATCATGGATTTTTAAAACAATATTTAAAAACTGCTTTTCAATACAATTAGTTTCTTTTCATTCAATATATTTTATACATTTAGAAATATATTCTGAGAAAGAGGCCATAAACTTTTCCAGACTGTCAGTTTCTACTCTTGGTTGTTTACATTCTTTCTCTGCCTTCTAGTGACTGCAAGAGGTCCTGGGTGTCTCCAAGGGCCCGAAATAACAAAACTGCTGAGCGCCTGTGGAACGTCAGCTGTGAGCTTCTAGGAATCCAGTGGAAGTAGAGCTGGTAGAAGAGCCACAGTTTTATCAGGTCCAGTCCGCACCATAATGAAAGGGGACCAAGGAGAAGGCCAACACTGAAGGACTGTCCTCCCGGCTGGCTGCTTTTGTGAATCCTGTTCGCCTCTGAGTCTTCTGACCCTTCTGGAAATCTTTGTACACCCAACCCTCTTGAGAGGTTGGCTCATGGCATGAGATGTTCATGCCTACAGAGCATTTTTCTCCAAGACTTGCAGAGTCAACCACCCTGTTAGGGTAGGAGGAGTAGGCAGATGGCAGATGGAGCACAGGGGTGGCAAAAGAGCCTGGGAAATGGGTCAGTTTTCTCACCTGTACCGGAGACGCCAGCCAGCGTGCTAGCTGAGGAAACAGGAGAACCAGCGTTATGTGTTTCTAGGGACTATAGACTCAAACTCTTGACTAATCTCTTTCCTCTTTAAATTCTAGTCAAAACTCTGGAATCTGGACCAACTCAGGAAAATCTTGGCTTAACCTTGGCCAATTGAGTTCCTTCCTCTGAGCACCCTGGAGCCAATGCATGAAGCTGGACCTTTCCATTTTCTTCTTCCAGTTCTTTTATAAAAATGGGATTTTTTTCTAGCTTTATTGCGATGTAATTGACATATGACAGTGTGTGAGTTTGGACCTTTCCATTTTCAATCATGTAGATGGTTTCCTTTTCTAAAGCATTCCCTTTACCTAAAAAAAAACAAAACAGTTTTGTAGTTTATTATTATTATTATTATTATTTTTTTAGAGAGGAAGGGAGAGGGACTGAGAAACACCCATGTGAGAGAGGAACATCAATCGGCTGCCTCCTGCACACCCCCTACATGCCACCCGGGCATGTGCTCTTGATTGGTAATTGAACTGGCTACCTCCAGTGCACAGATGATGCCCAACCAACTGAGCCCCACCAGCCAGGGCTTTACCTCAATATTTAGAGGAAATAGACTACATATCTCACTGCCTTACTTATTTTCTCAGGGTAGCAAGAGAGAATGGGAACAAAGCAGGCCAGCCTTCTAGTTTAGTGAGTAGTGTCTCACTCTACTCACCACCCATGACCTTGTTATAGTAGCACATCTTATAGTGCATTATTAAAGTGCTGTAAAATAAGATGTCTCGGTTGGGTATTTCCTCAAGGCTCTTCCAGCTCTCACATTTTATTGTCTAAGAAGTGATAGAAGTGGCTTCATTTACATAGATGCTCAGCTTCACTATAGATTAAGGTCAAAGGAAATGTGGGACTTCATTTAATCTGATACATAGATGTAGAAAAACCCAGTCCTAAAAAAACCCTCTACCTGAAATCATAGGTCTTCTCTCTTCTGGCCTCCCTGTTCTCCTGCGCTGTGGCCCCTATGACCTTCTTCTTGCCTCAAGTGCTGAAGGTCACCAAGAAGAGGCAGAGACGTATTTAATCTGTCAGCTAGTTGACTCAAGAGGTCACGTTATTTGTTCCTGCTCTAAAGCATCCAAAGGGTAGCTGGTGGCAAAATGACACTTTCTTCCATAGCATGTAGACTTAAAAAAATTTTTTTAAATTATTTTTTTAAATCCTCACATGAGGATATTTTTTCATTTATCTTCAGATAGAATGGGGGAGAGGGAGGGAGAGAGAGAGAAACATCGATGCAAGAGAGACACATTGACTGGTTGCCTCCCGTATGACCCCACCAGGGCCAGGGACCAACCACAACCGAGGTACGTGCCCTTGACTGGAGTCAAACCTGAGATTCATTGGTCTGCGGGCTGATGCTCTAACTGCTGAGCTAAACTGGCCAGGGAAAGTAGACTTTTTTTTCCCCCTTCATTGATTTTAGAGAGAGCGGAAGGGAGAGGGAGAGAGAAATAGAAACATTGATGAAAGAGAACATTGATTGGTCGCCTCCTGCATGCCTCTCACTGGGGATCAGGCTCACAACCTGGGCATGTGCCCTGACCGGGAATAGAACCAGCAACTTCTCAGTGTACTAACTGAGCTGCATCGGCCAGGGTAGCAAAGGACAATCTTTACCTCAAATAAGCTATGTCCATTGTTCTTATACATCTAGGATTAATGTATGTTTGAAATGTCAGAGTAGTTTTCTTTTCTAGGACCTTGTAGGCACAACCACGAGCATTAGAGCACAGGACTCCAGAGCACAAGACCACAGAAGCCCTTGTTATTATCGTTGTTGTTAATCCTCCCCTGGGGATATTTTTTCCATTGATTTTTAGAGGGATAGAGGGGAAGAGAGAGAGATCAACGTGAGAGAGACACATAAATTGGTTGCCTCCCACACGTGCCCAACTGGGGCTGAGATTGAACCTGCAACCCAGGTACATGCCCTTGACTGGGAATCAAACCAGGGACCCTTTGGTGTGTGGGCCTATGTTCTAACCACTGAACAACACCAGCCAGGGCAGCTTTCATTGTTGTCTTGTTCCCTGTATACCATTTCTACATGTTGTGAATGCTCATTATTAACTATCCTCTACCCACCAAAATAAATGTATGTGTTTCTCCATTTTGCCTTTTATCCACTCGTATGTTTTCTCTCCCCATCCCCTAGCCATGTTTTTCCCCACCTCCTTTATGTACCTTCATGTAACCCTCCTTATGTTTCCTCCTTTGATTCTAATGTATAAAATAAGCTGCAAAACTGCCATTCTCTGGAGCATTTTCTCAATCTGTTGAGATTTTGCTTTCCATCATATGTCATCAGTTTGGCTCAAATAAACTCATAAAAATTCTCTAAAAGTTTGGACTTTTTTTACCTTGACATGTAACTGCTAACAACATTAATAATTCCTAAGTATCATTTAATACTTGGAGTTCAAGTTTCCCTGGCTGTCTCACAAAGTCTTTTTACTGCTTGTTTGTTCACATCAAGGAAAGAGAAATGATTCTTCTGAAAAAAGTGGAAGTTTTTTCCCTAGAAGCCCCAGCAGATCTTGTGTCTCATTGGCCTGAATAAATACTAGGCTGCCTCATGAACCAATCACTATGGCTTAGGATGGGCTATGTTAATTGGTTTAAGCCAATTACAACCCACACCTGTAGCTGGGGTCCATCCCATCCACCCCAACCAATGAGGAAGACTAGTGGCTAAGATAAAGCACTTATGTTAATTAGGATTAGCTGTCCCCGTAAGAGATGCTGTGGTACGTTTTATTGTTATTCCCATTTTATTGACTGGCACAGAAGAGTTAAGAAGCTTGCCCAAGTTCACATAGTTGATATATGGTAGAGAGGACCCAGGTAGCCCAGCTCTAGAACCAGCATTCTTTTCTTCTTCTTCTTCTTCTTCTTCTTCTTCTTCTTCTTCTTCTTCTTCTTCTTCTTATTATTATTATTATTATTATTATTGTTTAGAGAGAGAGGAAGGGAGAGGGAGAGAGAGAGATGGAAACATCGATGAGAGAGAACATCGATTGACTGCCTCCTGCATGCCCCCCACTGGGGAACAGGCCCACAACCTGGGCATGTGCTCTGATCGGGAATTGAACTGGTGACCTCTTGGTGCATGGGTCCACGCTGAACCACTGGGCCACACTGGCCAGACTAGAACCAGCATTTTTAACAGCCATGCTCTATAGCTTCCCACGGTGGAGGGAGCAACTAATCCTCTCAAGGAAAACTCTGGGAACATGAATGAGCAAAGGGTTGAGGGGAACCCTGGGAAGCAATCAGTATATGCTCACTCCTGAGACCTGTGCCTCATAGGCTGTTGGGTCCACTGCAAACCCTGGTGAAGAAGGAAGAAGAAGAAAGAGGAGAGGAGGAAACAGAGAGGCTATGCAAGGGTGGGAGACAGGGCTGGTGAGGATCATGCATGGCATTGATGATCCTGGACTTCTCCTGTGGGCTGGAGGGATAAGTAAACATCAAAAACTAGGAGTGTGGCCCTGGCCGGTTTGGCTCAGTGGTTGGAGCGCTGGCCTGCGGTACAGAGAGACCCGGGTTCGGTTCCCGCAAGGGCACGTACTTCGGATGCAGTTAGTCCCCGGCCCTGGTTAGTCGTGCGGGTGGCAGCCACTCGATGTGTCCCTTCACATCGATGTTTCTCTCTCTCTCTCTCTCTTCCTCTCTCTCCCTCCCGCTCTATCTGAACAAAAAATGGAAAAATATCCCTGAGGATAAAAAAACAAAAAAACAAAAAACTAGGAGTGTGCAGGGCTGCTGTCTGTGCAGCAGAGAGAGCAGCAGAGAGAGCAGGCAGACCATGGGTGTGAGAGCAGAGATTCACACCTGTGTACAAGTTTAAGCGATAAACAGTGTTAACAGTGAGGCAAGAGGCATGGGCTTGGGGTGGGGGCTTCGAAGCCTGTCAGAGATGGCTGATTGTAGGTAGAAGAAACAGAGCCATGCATGGGCTGCAAGGAGTTGGCTCCGGCTGCCACAGACAGGCAATACGCTGGTACTGGTATTGGCAGCATAGGGTTTTTGAATAAACCTGCTCACAAGGCTGGGTTTTTCCACTTCCACACATTCAAATATAGTAATTTTTATTCAGTTGGCATCTTCTCTCTATAGAATTGTTTTTCCCAGAGAGAACAGAATGCTAACTCATTCAAAAGATTAATCCTTATAGTATGCGTGTTTGGAACACTTTGGACATTTTATAACTTTTCATGTTTGCCATGGCTACTTATTAGTATGATTGTTTTAATAAAGGTCATCCTATTCTTGATTTATGTCAAATATCTGAAATCTGAAAACCTTTTTTTATTCTCTAAGATACACAAAGACGTTGGGGCCAATTGCTGGGGTAAGGGGGCCTCAATCTGGAGCACAGGCGCTGGGGAAGAGCAAGGGAGCAGGGACTGGAACTTAGGACCAAACCAGCCAGGGTGTCACAATATAATCTTTGGTATAATTATATAATGGAGACCTATATTTGCTTTTGGAGTAATTACTCCAAAAAGTTATATATTAAAAATAACTATAAACACATATATTGTTGGATAAATTGATGAATTGCAGAATGATGAATGCGTGCAGGTAACAAGATTTGTATTTAAAAATTACACACAGCCCTGGACGGTTTTGCTCAGCGGTTAGAGCGTCGGCCAGCAGTCCAGAGAGTCCCGGGTTCGGTTCTCGCTAGGGGCACATGCCTCAGTTGCAGTTTGTCCCTGGCCCTGGTTGGGTTCGTGTGGGTGGCAGCCACTCAATGCATCTCTCTCATGTCGATGTTTCTCTCTGTTCCTCCTTCACTCCCTCTCACTCTATCTGAAGATAAATGCAACGAAAGTATCCTCCGGTGAGGATAAAAAAATAAAAATTACACACATATAACAGGATATCATATATTTTCTATAGGTACATATATAAGTATGTAAAAGCTCAAAAAGCAAAAAAAGATATAAAACCCTATATAATGAACACATAAGAGAGGTTGCCTCCGCCCTGGTCGGTTTGGCTCAGCGGTTAGAGCGTCGGCCTACGGTCTGGAGAGACCCGGGTTTGGTTCCCGCTAAGGGCACGTACCTCGGTTGCAGTTTGTCCCCGGCCCTGGTCGGTTGTGTGGGTGGCAGCCACTCGATGTGTCCCTTCACATCAATGTTTCTCTCTCTCTCTGTTCCTCTCTCTCCCTCCCACTCTGCCTGAACAAAAAAAAAGGAAAAATGTCCTCGGGTGAGGATAAAAAAAAAAAAAAGAGAGAGAGGTTGCCCCTGGGAGGAAATTGATGGGACATAATATTTCAATTTTTTAAAAAGCAGAATATTTTTAC